TATATATATATATATATATATATATATTTTGGAGATATAAATGAATAAAAACTAAGCAAAGGCATGTCCACATATCTTTAGTCCAAAGGGAGAGAGCTCCAGAAGTGTAGAAGCCTTTACACGCTGGACCAACTGTTGAAACAGGTCTGCAGTAGCTGCAATGCACTGTTTGGATGTTGAAGAATACTAACTATAGATGTAAAACAATGTAGACAAAAATGGAAGTAACCCATTTAAAAAAGAAATTGTCATAATTGTACTTACAGCGATAATTTGGCATTTTAGGAAAAGCTTATTTGCTTTTCTGCCTGAAGCTGAACTAGATGAGATTGATATCACTCATTTTTGCAGGATTATGAAGCCGCAGCCAGTTATCTTAGCACAAAGAGAGGAATGCACCAAGTCTGGCTCTGTCTGAAAGTAACAAAATTTGCCAGCAGCACCTCCAAATCCCGCTAATTAAAAGCTTATACTTCCCATTTCACTATTTTTGTCTGACTATATCTTGGTCGGCTGCAGAACTAGCCGTTTACCCCCGTTTCCAGTCTTTATGCTAAGCTACAGTGGTGAAACATAACAAAGTAAATTAAGTCAAGTACTGTACTTAAAGGGACAGTCCGCCACTAAATCAAAAATACACATTTTTTCCATCTTGCCCGTTCTATTTACCAATCTACATCGTTTTTGTGTAAGTTGCCTAGTTTAGGAGGTATCAGCCGTAGAGATGTCTGCCTTCTCTGCAATATAATGGGACTGTATGGCATTTGGCTTGTGGTGCTCAAAGCACCAACAGCCGAACCCCAATTCCAGCTCCTTCCAGGGAGCGAACGTTTGAGTGCTGAGGAAACCTTGATTCATCAAAGTTGTTCCTCAGATGGAAAACTCAATCTTCAATCGTCACTCACAGTTAAGAGCAACATAGTGTCCCAGCTATTGATGGAGTGTTTCCGACTTCTCTAAAATCTAGGGTTCGTATACCTCCCTCACTATTATTTGGACGTCCTGCATTAGCTCACCGAGAGGCACGAGGAAGATCGGGTGACATGATCACCTTTGCTAACACAAACAAGTCACTTGACCTGGACATCAACCCCAGTTCTCTTAACTTCATGCCTTAAGTCATCCCCTCAGGACAACCTCGGTCATGAACCTATGTTCTGCCGATCTGTTAAATGGGTTGCTGATCTATTAATCCAAACAACTGAATTAATTTAGGTAATTCCCGTATTACCTGCCATCTGCGTCCGCTTGGCCTTCTCGGTACTTTCCATCCATCCCATTTCTTCTCCTGGTTCTCTGTTTTCTCAGAGCCTTTATCAAGGCTGTTGTTTGGCCTTCTCTTACAGGAGCGTCAAGGCCCCCTGAATCTAGCATCGATGTCTGTTAAATCTGGGCTCTATATTGGCGTGCAACGTTTGTCTTTTATTTTTCATGCAACATTCTACTTTTACATCACTACATATATCTGACAGCTTTAGATAGTTACTTTACAAATTCAGATTTTTGAGCGCAAAACACAAAAGGTTTATAGAATGTTTTGTTCAAACGATTGGTTTATAGTTTAGTTTATATAATACAGTTTATACAAGTACATCTAAAATGTCTAGTCGATTAATCAATTAGCCGCTTGACAGAAAATGTATTGGCAATTATTTTGATGATATGTCATTTTTAAAACATTTTTTTAATGGTTTCAGCTTCACAAATGTGAAGATTTGATCTGAATGCTTGCCCCCACCACTGCTAAGCAGTACTAACTGTCTGCTGGCTGTAAATGTGTGACCTTTTTTTATCAATCTCATCTAAAGAGCATTATAAGCATATTTCCCCAAAATGTAGTGCAGTACGTTGCAATTGAATTTCAGGCCCATGTGTAAATGGATTTATCACTTTCTTCAGCCCCTGTGGAAATGCAAATAGTGTCCCAGCTAAACTGAATTCAGCCATGTGATTTTAGGCTAAAAGGTGTGCAGGAGTGATAAGGTATGCTTGTTATTGTGACCTTGAGGGCTTTCTAACCCAAGGAAGAAAAAAAAAACTGTCTGTGTGAATTAGGAGTTGGAAGTAGCAGAAGAAAACACTGATAAGCTGCTTCTGCCACACATAACGCCTCCACAATAGGAGGACCCCGCCAGACTGAGACTTTAATTGAGCTCCCTCCCTCCTCTCCTCCTCCTCCTCCTCCTATCCTCTCTCCTGGGCTGCTGCTGCTGCTGCTGGTTTCAACTTCTCGTCTACACACCACTTCAGATTATTTCGGTGCTGGATACGACGAGCAGCTTTTATACAAGAACATGGCTCTCCTGCGCGCAACACTTCCAACCTTGTTTCTTCACCTCTGCCTCCTCAACTGGAGCGGTGAGTTCAAACCGAAATTAAACACGCCATTTTTATTTTTAAAAAGCGGACAAGTTTTGAGTTAAGGTGTTACAGCCGTTGAGTTTGAATGAAATAACAACGTGTGCCTTTTTTCTGACATTTTCAAAAGATTTTCAAGTTAAATAACTAGAGCACCGTTTTCTATATATGTGTGTTTTTGTTGTGGTTAATTAGCAGTTCGCCTATTAGTGAGTCCTGGCGTCGTGAGTGAATTTGAAGGCTTAATTACCTATAACGTGAGTGGAATGAGCGCATGTTGAATTTGTGTGGGTTTCCACTAATTTGAGACTTTGCCCCACATTTTAGTCCTCATTTTCAGTTGTTTTCAGTCGAAAGTCTCGGGAGTCGTAAAGTAAATAAAGGTGTAATAAATTACTGCGTAATTAACGGACCAATTAACCCACCAATGCATAGCTGCGCTGTACGTTTGAGCATACAAACGCACGTGACTGGTGTTTTTTTTATTATTTTAAAGGTTTGTGTCATGAACTGTTGTGCGACAGAGTCTGGGTAAGTTATTAAAGGTTTAACAAGACTGCTGTAAAAAAAAAACATCTAAAGAACCACAGACCGCAGGGCCAAACTTGGTTCTCTCTGCAGGACATGCTTAGGTTCGAGTCTTTGTTATTCATCAGCCAGAACCTGCCAGTAATAGCAATGTGATGAGAAGAGGCGGGTTTCTAGGCAGGACAGAGCAGTGTGGAAAGGAGAACCAGTCTGAGGTCACGTTAAGATTGTGGATATGTTTCCCCTCAAGGAGTTTTAAGGGTCAGGAGTTGTATATTGAATAGTTTCTTAAATAATTTGAAGATACTGGCTTGATTAAAGAGCCAGTGTGTAGTATTTTGGGTGATGCATTAACTTGCCATCAGTGTATAATCACCTGAAACTAAGAATCATGTTTGTCTAGAATAAACCCTTCATATCTACATGGGGATCGGGTCCATTTAACGGAGTCAGCCGTGTTGCACAGCCACGTTTCTACAGCAGCCCAGAACAGACAAACCAAACAATGGCTCTAACCTGAAGTCCACCGTGGTTGTCCGATACGCTTGTATAGCTGCGGTAACGTGAGCCACAGTGTTCAAAACTGTGATACCATCAGCCGTCGCCTGACTTCTGTTGTCCCTAAAGTAGTGTTGTTGGGGTTAGGTTTGCCTCTGAGCGAGGCCAATGGCTTTCCCAACATTTTGCACGAGGCGGCTCACATTATCGCAGTTTTAGAAAGCGAGGACTGAGCAGAGGGGTATTCAGGTGTTTGCAATCTGCAACCACCACACTAGATGCCACCAAATACTACACACTGTCCCTTAACAGTGAGAACCGTGTGTCCTAGTCTCCGAGAACCCACGGTCACATCCTCAAATGTCTTGTTTTTTCAGACCTAAACTCCCAAAATCCAAATAAATCCAATGATGTAAAACAGAGAATGCGGTAAGTCTTCACAGTTGAGGAGCTGGAACCTTTGATTGATTGAACTGATTAATCGACTAATTGTTCCAACTCAACTAAATATAGTTAATGGCAAAGAAACGGAAGATAAGGAAACGTTAAGGGTTTAGGCTATTGCGTATTACTGTCGGCTAATTGGAACTGAGACAATTAGTCAAACAACAGATTAGTGGGTTAACAGAAAATTAATTGGATGTACAAAATTTGATTTTTTTAAATCTTTAATCAATTTTGAGAATATTAAAACTAAGAATTATGTGAATCTGTTTCTTCCCCGCTGCTACTCTTAAAGGCTGACATGACGATAGATTACCTACAGACAGAATTAAATGTAAACCTTCTTCTCCATGTAGCATCTCGCAACAGGACAACACTCGCTGTGTCCCGACTGTAAACCTCTTTTTCTCTTAAATCCCTGTTTTTTTCCCCTCCATCAGCCTTGTCTTAATTGGGTTACCGCTATTTAATCCTCATCTCCCCTGGACCTCCTCTGGAGACGGAGAAAAGCTGTCTGTTTTTGGATTAGGTTGTTGGTTAGTGATAGAGACCCCAGTCCTCTAAAGAGCTTCCAAACAAGGCTCTGTCAAAACTGACCAGCTCCCTAATGGACCTTGAAGGGCACTTACTCGAATACAATTTGTGGCTAAAAGCATCTCTCCTGCATGGAAATGAACCCATCCTGAGTATGACAAAAAAAACTCTTAACATGTCCCATAGCTGATGCATTGTACACTCACATCCTTATTGATCTCACAGACCAGTGTTCATCAGTATGATGGGCATGTTGTGTTACAGGAATGGCCAAGTGATCCGGGCAGTGTGGTTATGCAGTAAATCAGAGCAGTGGCAGAGCTTTTATGAGGACATTTACACTACAGAAAGTAGATACACATGCCTTTATGGAATACACAAGGTTTTATCCTTCAGTGCATTTCAAAGCTCTGATCCTTTTTCTGTTCAAAACTGCGTTCCCAAAATGGTACGATAAAAGTGAAACGTATGTATCTATCTCAAACGATTCAATAAATATCTAGATACATGATTCTCAATCTGATGCAAGAATGATGCAGATACATTTGTAATGACACACAAAAACACCTCAAGTCTGCTGCATTTGTTGTTTTTTAGTACAAAAAGTAGTCAATCAGAAATACCCCAGGAAATTCTGTCTACTGTCACAGCAACAACCTGTGACATGGGCAGTGATACTTTAGGTAACTTATAGTTGTTAGAGTAGTGTTTCACCGAAATACTGCCAACTTGCAACATTTAAATAAAACAGCTTATGGCCTAATTGCCTTTTTAAAGGTTGATATTTTAAAGTGTCCTCCTTATTGTCAGTAAATCCCATTAAAAGCCCCAAATCAGCATTTAATTGGTTCTATTAAGAAGTGTTGTGTATGTAAAGCCTGATGTATCTAAGCAATTTGTGCCCAACTAACAAAAACACATCAGTGAGTCACACTGTTGCACTGGGTGACATCTTCCTTTATTAACAGGAACTTGGGATGTTACGATACCAGACATTTAGTAGTTGATAGTAATATCAGTGAAATTCCACAATTCTCAATACCCATTCGATACCACTGTTAAGATTAAAAACGATAAACATTTGGTGCTAGTGTTACAGGTCAGAAGTTTACTTTTACTACTATTGGACTATTCAAAAACTCTCTCTTGAACATTGTACATGCAGCCATTTAAAATAACATTTTTCAATAACCAAATCATATTTTCAATGCGGCTGAAATCAATGTCAGTGTCTGCTCTGGTTGTTGGTTAGGAATGCGCCTTGCAAACCCATTGTGTGGTGTAATAAATGAAATGCTTATCCATTAAGTGGTATCTTTAGGGTGCAAGTTTTGTTACATTGATAGTTCCAATCCTCAGTTCAAAAGGCAAAATTGATTGAAAATCGATGGCTCTAATAATCCATCACAAGCTAGTCCAACTGCCCAATCTTTGTCCGTTGTCTATGTAATACTTATTTGGTTTGGGCACTATGCTTATAGACCAAATGGATCAATCGATATCCATATTGTTGTGTGACACACTCTAGTTACTTTTGACTCCATCCTACTTACACTATCCTGCGGCCACATACACTATAACACCAAATATGGATTAATCAGCTGCTGAAAATATTCCCGAACAAATGCACTTTTTACTCCAGTTTGAGTAACTGAAAACTACAATGCCCAGCTGTTTTAGTGAAGCCTCTAAAAGACAACTCACTTCCTCCTTGATGGAGAGCTCTCTGATTCTTACTGAAGTTGTTTTTATGTTCTTGTCAAGTGTGTGGAGTTGTTTGCTGTCGAACTTATGCACAGAGTGCATAGTTTCTTTGATGATGGAATACACAATTGATGCGGTTGTTGTTAAAAAAATATGTAACATTGTTAATTACTGTGACAGAATATGAATCCTCAACAATCGTGATAATAGATTAATCATTCATGTCATTTATCAAGCAAAAAGGCCAAACCACATCTGGTTTCAGTTGCTCAAATGTGAGAATTTGCTGCTTCATATATCATCTATTAAATATCTTTGCGTGTTTTGACAATTTCTTTTGACATTTGAGTATTTGATTAGAAATAATGGTCCAATTATAAACCATGAGAATAAACACTCAAATGTTTAGCTTTTTCAAAATATGCTGTGACTGTTCTAGTTGAGCAATTCATTAAATTCTTGTGATTTACATAGACCTATTGATATTCTTGAATGATATTCAGAACAATACATTTAATTAAATGGAAACCCTCAAACTACCAATCTAATAATTGAGATATTCAAATTGTTTTTGACCACAAGGTCAAACTGCCTGAAGACGAAACTACACTTCAATATGCAAATACATTTGTGGAGCTATAAGTGTGATGAAAACCAAGTTTACATAGACTATCCAAAACTGTCAATTTATGAAAGTTTAGTCCGATTCTTTTATCTCCTTCCCTCATTCTGTGATCAGATTATTTATATACACATGCATTATATTAAGGAAGACTTCCTGCTTGGCTGTGAGTGTTAAGACATCGTCATCAATCATTCATTATTAGCCAGATAAGAAATGTTTTCGTATTAAGTAAAGTAGTGACGTATCGGAACATGAGTGATAACGGTATCCCAGTGAGTCGACCTCCTCGTGTAAATAATGGCTGCTCTCCCTGACCTCTCCTTCAGCCAGAGAATACCTTCACTCTGTTGCGGGGCTCGTTTGCATGCAGCAGGAAGTGTGCAGCTGTTGGCTGCAGTTGTTCATGTGTGGATTAGTGCGTTTGGCTGAGTGATAGCCAGGCAGGACAGCCATATAATCTAATGTATTGGCTCATTGTTTTCATTAAAGAGAGTGTGCCGTTTGATCCCTGTGGCATTATACTGGTGCCTCGCTGTGGCATTAGGCATATGTGAGCTAATTCCACTAACATGTATGTCAGCACGGTGAACAATCAAATAGCGTGCGTCCTATTGAGTTAACTGTTCAGTAGATTCACTGATTATTTAAGCTAGTGAGCTTTTGTCTC